GCCCTGAGTGAAACAGACACACACACACACACATGAGGCGCGGCATCTGTCTCAGCGCAGCACGAGCCAGTGGTCCTCACACACCTCTATCACGCCGACAGGTTCTTCATCGCCAGGTTTGTTGGCCGACCACCCCGACGGATGGCCGCCCCCACCGGCCCTCTGCGTGGCCCCCCTCGCCCGGCCGTCGTGGAACTGAGACCACAGTGTGGGTGCCTTGTTCTTGCTCTTGCTCACGGGGGTGGGCAGGCGGCCCAGCTGGTAGAGCAGGTGCCTGCACTCGTTCTGGCCCAGGCACAGGCCGAGTGCGAACCACACGGCCGATGGGTGGGCGACGTCGGTGCGCTCGAGGATGCGGGCGATCTTGTCACGGTGGCAGCAGTAGTAGCACAGGAGGATGAAATGGTACACCTCAGTGGGCGACGAGGCGCCGGGGATCTGGAGGTGGATGTCCTGGTAGGTCACCCGGGCCAGCACCTGCCAGTAGTGCGAGAGGCCCTCGCTCAGCGCCGTCGCCATGCACCACTCCTTGTCCTTGCTGTCCTCCCCAGCCCCGCCCTCGTTGACACTCGATCGAGAAGACGAGAGCGGCGACAGACACACGAGCGATGACGGGTCGGTGGCCTCGTCCAACGCCACAGTCATGACGTCCTCCTCGTGCTCCAGCGGCGCGTGCGGCGAGGGGGACGACCGCGACGACGGTGATGCAACACACGGATGCTGCTGCTGCTGCTGGGGTGTGAGCTGCAGGTCCAGCCCCAGCTGTGAGCACGCCTTGAGCAGCGTCTCGAACAGGCCCTCAGGGAAGTAGTCGTGCGACTTGACCGGCACCGTCTCAGCGTCGATGGATGGCACCAGCTTCATCGCCTCCCCGCTGCTGTCCGCCCCGTCAGCCCTGGGGGGGCCCGTTGCGGATGCGTCGATTGGTCTGAATGGTAGGGGCAGGGTGTGGGGGAAGGCTCCTCTCCACTGTGAGGGCAGGGGCACCCCCCTGTCGCTGTGTTGCCCGCCGGAGGGGCGGTAGCGGGTGGAGAAGGCCAGCGCCAAGGCAGTGGGGAAGACCTCCTGCTCAAGCTCCATGCTCATGGCCAGCGGCAGGCTGTCGAGCGGGACATCGATACCACCATCCGCACCGACCTCACCCGCACCAGCCGTCGCTGCCGCCTCTCCGTGCTCCTCCTCGTTGGCCATGGCGGCGACGTCAGACATGTGTGATGGTGATGATGGGTGGCTTACAAAAGCCGATCGAACCGACGGTTGGTTGTTTGATTGTCCTTCTCGAGCTCCCCACTCTCCCACGCCATTCAGCGGCACTTCACAAGTCATCTCCTGTATAGACTAATTGACACACAGTGGAGAGACGTTGTAGACAGGTGAGGACGCATAAATTGTTCTCCTTTGAGTGTCTGTCTTCGCACCTATTGATAAGGGCAGATGCCCTCTTGAAGGACAGTGGCAAAGGCGGGTGCCCCCGAAAGCGAGGATATTACCAAGCCCAAAATCTCGGTGCTCTTCGCGAGAGGCACCGATGCGAAAATCGCGGCGAAACATCCAGCAAGTAGTGCCACCGCAATTGCCAAACGCATTCTATACTTCCTCCTCTCCGCAATGACCTGAGGAAAAACAGCACATAAAGGAGTGAGGCAGCGATGACCATTTACTACATGTAGCTCCTTACTTGTGTGCGCACGCCTGCCATTTGGAGGATTTGGTGGTTGAAGGGGATCACAAATTGATGACCTCTATAGTCTCCGTTTGCTCTCAAATATGCCCTCAGGTCTTTCAAATCTTGGGACGTCAAGAGCGATATGTACACGTCAGTAGCTTGTCCATTCACACGCCGGAGTCGCCGCAGCCTGCCCAAAGCTATCGCTACAGGATATTCGCCGCAAAACGGTGGGAACCAACCACGATCCCCAGGTCATCAAGACGTGTTGACTACCGGGATAGATGGCATCCGCCAGGACGGTTGCGAGGCCGCACGCTGCCGAAATGGCGGATACCACCAGGTTGGTCACTTCTCCGACTGTCCCCAGTGGCATCACTACCCGGAAGATGACCGCGTTGAATATGCCGAGGAGAATGAGGGTCATGCCCAGGCGCATATTGATCCCCCGCCGCGTTTTTTGCATAGCCTGACACACAGCATGATCGAGTGGCTGCCTACAGCTTCTCCTCCTGGCTGCCGAGTACCTGGCGATACGGAAGATCGGCCATGAGGTCAGCGTTCTCCTCGAGAGCTTCTTGGTCCGCAGCCGATCCGTCTGGCCTCACAAAGGCCGCCAGAAGGTCCACTTCTTTTTGTAAGAGGTCCCGATGAAGGGGGGTGCGTTGGTTGGCGATGCCTGATTGATTTTGGACGTTGCTTAGTGCCGTCCGCACTTGATATTGGCCCCTTCGCTCTGAAGGGCAAGGACAATACGTCATCGCAGCACCCATCGCAACGGATGTGTGTTAGGGCACTGAAGGCTCCCTGAAACCGCTGCTGAAGAAACCACCCACTGGAGCACAGTCCTGAAGCCAGGCGACATTCGGTGCAGACAGAATCAAACATGCGACCATCCGTCTCCGCCATTCCACCATCTACCTGATGCCGGGCGAGAGTTTGGCTCTCTTGAGGCCTTCATTCAGGCCCACGGCCAAGCCGACGGACACCGCGGTGGCTAATCTGACAGACGCACACGGGAGAGGCGAACTCATAGCTTCTGGTCGGTGTTCCCTCCCTCTGCTGTGTGAGTGCCTGCCTACCCGTAAGCTATAAGATTGTTTGCAGTCCCCTCGTCGCTTTCCTCATCGGATGGATCCTTGGACTTGTTCGAGTTGGCCCAGTTGAACAGAGCATTGTATGTTTGGTTGACCTACAGTGTGGGGACAGGACAGCCACCGACTGACTGGCTGTCCACCCGCCGTACGTACCTATTGCCAGAGAGCAGCATTGGCGACCGTAACGGGACTCAACAACATGCCTGCAGGAAGATGCAGACCTGTTTGTATTTATGCGTATGTGGATCTGCGTCCGACACCACACTCATGCGGCAGTGCAGTGCAGTGCCTCGCCCACCTGAAATAATGGGTATGTTGACAGGCACGAATGCAGCCAGTCGGAGGGGGAGGGGGATGGGCTCGTGGGTCTGGGGATGCACACTGGCATCCAAAAGCGTCTGCGCTTCCCATACCC